TACAGAGTAAAAAAGAGATGTCTTAATCATGATCTCTTTGTGTACATGTATGTACATGTATCTAACATTTCCCACCGTTCTGAGCCTTATTTGAAAAATCAGCTTGTGGCTCCCTTCTCCAAGCAAATCCTACAGTAAGGTTCCAGTTATTCTTTATTTTGGTTAGATAATTCATTCAAGCTTATATGGAGTAGTGTTCAATCATTTTGTAGCACTAGCTCTATGGAAATTGTGGGATTTTTACCTTTTAGACAATTCTCTATCCAAAACCCAAGGTGTTCACTTCCAAACTGTTTTCTACACAGGAGTCCTGTGGTAGCTGGTGCTGTGGTGGCTATGGATCGACATCACTTCCAAAACACCGGAGCTTATGATTCTGACATGACCATGTGGGGTGCAGAAAATCTGGAGCTATCTATAAGGGTAAGAACCTTAATTAAAATATCCAGCTGTGGTAACTATTGGGCTTTTAAGGAACCTGAATAAAAAGGCAAGAAGCAATTTATAAAAGTAGTTAAGTGCAGAATGTCTTGCGGTATGGAGAATATCATTTTCCTTGCAGAAATCTATCCCCATGCTCTGTGATCTGGCAGAACTATAGAAGAATGTTCAGCTGCTGTGAGTTAGGAGCATTATGTCAGGAGAAGGAGGTTTCACTGGCTGTCGATATCTGCCTGAGGACTGAGTCACCAGTTTTGGCCCTTCTGAAAGTTGCCTCTTCTTTTTTTTGGCATGTAAAATGCACCAAAAGGAAAGTACTTTATTTCTTTGCCAACCCGTAGTTTTAATATCAAATTGTTTATATTAAATTATTTGCACTGATTTTTGCTGAACACAAAGAGTAGCAGGGATTAATAAAGCAATGAAAATTGCAAACACAAAGGGTACAGAGTCTTTAATGTCCCGGACACAAGAATACGTGCCCTCAGGTCTTTTCTCTACACTGCACTGTTTGTGCACAGAGAAACATAAAAGCATATAAAGAGCATACTGGGTCAAATCAAAGGTCTGTGTTGCCCAGCATTTTCCTCTGTGTCCCTCCATCCATGAGGAACAGTGTTTGAAGAAGCATCTAATAGTGCTCGTGCTGTTTCCAGCAATGTGCAGATTAGTATTTCCTGAGGCAGAGTCTACAGTAAAGGAGCTTCTCCTTTTTAGATGAAGGTGATCTAAATAAGGTAATCGCTTTTTGTGCTTTCACTTGTGTTTCAGACCTGGCTCTGTGGTGGATCTGTAGAAATTATTCCATGCTCCCGGGTTGGGCATGTCTATCGAAGTCACTTCCCCCGTGTCTTCCCCTATGAAGAGGCCATTGTGAGGAACAAAATCCGAATAGCAGAGACCTGGCTGGGCTCTTTTAAAGAGAACTTCTACAAGCACAACACAGTGGCTTTCTTAATCAGCAAGGTAAAGACATCTGTAGTGGTTTGCTTCTGAGGGGAAGATGTATTGAGGTAGGTGAAGGGGGTGCAGTAAGGGTGGGGGTGTCTGTGTGCAGTCAAACATTCAACATGCATGTTACTGGGGGTAGTCTTGTTATGAAACCTTCCAGTGGAAGAGCTGTCAGGTCAGGAAGGAAGGAGAGGAACTTATGCTGATGAACTGTTTGCTGGAGTTCTCTTAGAGTATGACTTCTCCAAATGACTCCTCCTTCAGCTTGCCCAACAAGCTGTGATTTATTTTCCAGTGATAGTACATGGAGGGTTGCAGTGGGGGAGCTAGTAGCACTGTGTGCTCAAATGGGCCTCCTAGAGGATTCATTCTTCAGTATTGGAGGTCTTCCCCATGGAATTCATGAAGATATTCAGTAATATTCACATACATGTGGCAAATGGTGGTGTCTCCTGCTGGAGGGGGACGTATCTGAGCATTCTAGTGACAAGGCAGGGGACAGACTTGTGAGCAGCTGTGTATGAAGACATGTCATTCATCATGTTCATTTAATGATGCCATGCTTTTAAGAAGAAAAAGATTCACTGAAGACAATTAGGTAGAGCACGGGTGGATGCTGTGCAAAATTTCCCATTCATTTTTTCTCCTGCTTTCCAGTCCTACATGTCTCAGTCATTGCAGTGCTGGATGTCATGTAAGAAAGCCAGATACAGCAGGAGCTGCACTGGAGTGGGGAAAGGAGAAGGGCTGTGCATTGGTGTGGCCTCTTGCTTCTCTCTGGGCATCCAGTCTGACCTCCTTCCACTCCACCTCTCCAGATCTGCCTCTCCAGTCAGCCTGCTATGCTAGTCCTAGAGTCTGAGGCTATCACAGTCCTTTTTTTATTTATTTCCTCCTTTTTATGAAGCTTCTCCCTCCTCATCTTGGTTACAGGTCTGAACTCCACTGGCCAGAATTGCATCAGTTGACTGACAAGGGTTACAGCCACGTAATTGCACGGAGGATGCTAGGCTGAGTCTTGTAAGATGGGCAATTAGGCCTTTAAATCATTTAATAATTTCCTGAAGGTCTTTCTAGTCAACTTGGAAGCAATTTTCTGTACTAAAAAGCACAGCCATCAGCGATACAGTTTACTAGCTGTAAGCACCATGACCTTTTGCCTGAGAATTTATTCTGGCTGGGATACTTTTAGTACACCTAAGTACAATGCTCCTTCAAATGATCAATGTTACGATCTCTGTGCTCAGCACCCCATAACAAAAAGCCCTTTTCTCTGTTCCTCTCTTTCGCAGCCAATATTTTCAGTGTGTCAGTGCAGCAGGATGTAGTTCAAAAGACACGAGCAGGCAGTGACATTATTGCCGCCCAGCTGCAGAGGGGCCCGGCGGGGATTTATGGCAGGCAGGGTGCACAGAGCAACCTACTGGGCACCACAAAAACCTCTGGGAGACCTGACTGCCAACATGGCCCACTGCAGGAAATAACCAGCAACCCCATTTCACTTGCTTTATACATCTTCCCATTTTATGATCTGAATTGCATCCTGCACACGATGCCTGTGGTGTGAGTGTTAATGCAGATGAATAAGGTTCTTCTCAGCTTTCTACTGTTTCAGCCACTGTCTCTTTTTCTCCTTTTCTTAGGTAGTTTATTTAATTTACAAGCAGTTTCCTTTCAGATTCCTTTACAGGGATAATGCCTTTCTTTATTTGCACAATTTATTCGGCATCCAATGCAGACTGTAACTAGTATGACAAAATGAGATTTACTGCCATCACCTTCTTCAGCCAAAGCAGAGGCCTATGAGAAACATCTCTTTTTAGGGAAAGTCTTATACTTCTTTGCTTTCCTTTTCCAAGAAAATCTCTTCAGGACAGGTTTGTGTGATGCTGAATTCCTGAACTTTGTTGTTATGCTTATTGAATCTAAGACTGCTACTAAACTATGAGGTTCTCTTTAACATATTGCAACTGTTGAGCTTTGCTCTTGCAGATTAAAGGGGCTGGCACATGGAATCCAGACCAGTTTCTTGGAATCCAAACCTGCATTTTTAAATTACAGGGGGAGACCTACTGCTGGCAAGAGAGAGGAACGAGACTTAAGGGTGGTGAGATATTTTTAGTATTTGGGCACTGAGAGATTTAGGAAAGTGTTTTGTGTGGTTTAAAATGGAAAGGTTAGACACTTACCTGCTTAGAGGTCTTCAGAACCCTGCTAGCCACCTTCAGTGCTACATACCCTCAAGTACTCAGACTGTCTGTCGTTCACAGTGCAGATGCCTGTAGCTGCACCAAGGCTTGAAGGCACTTATCTTTTTTCAGAGTAAAGTTGCTACTAGGAAAGGTGAGAGTTGATATAGTGTGTATATAATCTGAGAAAACACATAAATCATAGGAAGGGTTTTATGCCTTTATAGCTGCAAGACACATTCACTTACTAGATTTAATAGCTGTCAGTAATGTGGTAGACTATATTTTGGGCTAAATTCTGTCATCACTTACATCCTCAGATCATGAAGGACTGGCAATAACTGGGTAATTTGGGCTGTTGAAGGTCAGGAAACTGAATTTTACTCAGCAGGGAAAATTCTATACTGATTGACAATCTGATACAACCCCAGTGACTTCAGAGCAACTGGTAACAAACTTGGCTTTGACTTTTTGAATCAAAAAGGTGACAAAGACCAACTTAATCTGCAGTATAATAATGATTTTTAGAGGAAATACTTCTTTTCACAATGTATGCTACTTCTGAAACATTCACTTCTGTCAGAATGACAGACTAAATGCTGACTTAGCACAAAGTTGGCGGAAGGCTATATCTTGTCCTCCTCCTTTAGAATCACATTTAGGCTGGAAAGAACCTTTAAGATCATTGAGTTCAAATGTTAACCCAGCACTGCCAAGTCCACTGCTAAATCATGTCCCTAAGAACCACATCTACATGTCATTTAAATATATAGGGATGGTGACTCTACCACTTCCCTGGGCAGCCTGTTCAACCCTTAACAACCCTTTCTGTGGAGAAATTTTTCCTAACCTAAACCTTCCCTGGCACAACTTGACATCATTTCCTCTTGTCCTGTCTCTTGTTACATGGGAGAAGAGACCAACCCAACCTTGCTACAACCTCCTTTCATGTAGTTGTAGAGAGCAATAAGGTCTCCCTTCAGCCTCCTTTTTTTTTCCAGGCTAAACAACCCCAGTTCCCTCAGCTGCTCCTCATAAGATGTGCTCTAGACCCTTCACCCTTTGCATACTCATAAGAGATATATATCAAAGTCTATAACATGCAGGTCTTCTGCTGCCCACTTGTCCAACATAGAATGATATTATCATCAACAGGCAGACCAGCAGCCAAACTCCTCCCTCCACTCCCACATCACACACCAGAGATCCAAAGTGCCAGACAACCAGAGGGAGGAACAAGTCAGTGCACTCACCCACCACAGTGGATGTGAAGAAGGGAGTGAGCCAGAGGGGGAGCCAAGCCATGGGCAATGGTAGCAGCTAGGCTACCAGTTATATAGCAGGGACTCAGACACAGTGTCATGTTCTGGCCCCACTGTTCTGGGAACTCCACTTGCCATGAAGAGTCAGGGAGCCCTTCCAATAGCCAGAACCCCCACACAGCACATGCACTGTGTAGGCAAACCTCCCAACCCCACTGCAAGCAGAGTCAGCTCTCACTCACAGCATAGTATGTAAAGATGGGAGCAAGCTGGCTATGGAACCAAGCCATGGGAGATAGAAGGGCCCAGGCAACCAATCCAATTATGCAGAATTTTCCCAGAGAGAGACTCATGATCTTCTGCCATCCTGTAAACTCCACTTCCTATGAAGAGTCAATGAGCCCCTTCAACAACCAGAACCCTCACACAGCACATATATAGACTTCCCAACTCCACTGCAAGCAGAATCAGCTCTTACAGAGATGACTTCCTGCCCAGCCTCCAAGTTACTGTGGAAGGTAGGGGCACTTGGTGGTGATCTCCTCATCAGTTCCCACCCAAGGCTGGCCAGACCCTGGATGAAAACCAGTCAGGAGGGTCTTTCTTGCCTGGTTGTGGACGTCATCCATATGCCAACCCTCATTCAGGGCTGGGGGTTTAATCCCAGAACTTAAGCAGGATAGAAGAAGTGGTAGAAATAATTCCTACATGGTAATTTTCATTTCTAGCATCTGTAATCACAAATAACACTAGTAACCTTGTTGGCCATGTGCTTTCTTCATAAAGGCAGAGAACCCAGACTGCAGTGAACGCCTTCAGCTACAGAAGAGACTGGGCTGTAGAAATTTCCAATGGTTTGTATCAAATGTGTACCCTGAACTCTCCCAACCTGAAGACACACCAAGGTTCTCTGGCAAGGTAAGAGAAAACACACTATAAAGAATGATTAGTAGGTTTGCATTGTTCAAAAACCCCAGTGTCACTTCCATGTACTTAGTGAGCATGGAGTAAGAGGCTGTTCCTGCTTTGAAACATTTATTGTCCAAAAAGACAAGGCAACAAAGATGGGAGGAGAAAGAAAAGGACAGAGAAGGCAAACAACTGGTCCAAACTCTCACATAAACTGAAAGCCACTGAGAGCCAGCCAGAAGCCGAATCCAGATTCTCTTGGTTCAGCCTCACAGCTCAGAGGATCCTAACATGAGGCTCTCTAGGTGCCATTGGCAATGGAAAAACATGATGTTGCCTCATGAAGATGGTAACTGCAAAAGCAGCTGAGATGCCTCTCTGCTGACCCACGTGCATGAAAAGAAATAAGCATTTCTTCAGTGCTGCACTTCCCACAAGGGCAGAAGTGGTATCATAGCAGTTCCTTGGCTGTGTACAGGAGGCAATATTCTCAGTGGGGGACTTTTTTAAACTCCTAAGTTGATAACTATCATTTCTTAAAATATTAATTTCTTCCAGGCAGCCTTACTGGAAGGTTTTTTTCCCAAGGCAACAAAGTCCACTAATTAGGTCACTCTGCTAGATGTAGCCAGATCCTACTGTGTCTTTTTACTATTTTGTCTGCTTTTTATTATCAAGGTTTCCTTGAGAAGGGTGTAAGAACTGAGTCTGGATCACAGAAACTGTGACATGCTTTCTTCTTCTGGAGTATCTTGGATTTTTTCTGACTACAGTGTCCAGTTGAAGTGCAATTTTCTATTAGTGTAAAAATTTTGACAGATTTCTTTTAACTATCATTATAGTTAAAAGCAGAAGTGGGTGTTAAACAAAATTCACAGGGTAACACTGACCTTTGGTGACACTCTGCTTTTTACATCAGATCAGTTTTCAAAATCAATATGCAAGACCTAGTCTGAAAGAAAAAATATGTTGCCTGAATTGTAAGAAAAACTTACATATCATAAAGAGATAACATCACCAAAAAAAAGTTAGCTGAAGGAAAACTTGTTTGTACTTGGTTGTGCTTTATTTCAGTGTAAATGTTTGCTTACAGCTTTACAATACTGGTGCTGGCCTCTGTGCAGATTACAGGCCTGGAAGAGCCACTGCAGAGGGCTCCATCGAACTCTCCCCTTGCAGCGACAGCCTCACCCAGGTACTGCTTACCTTAAGCATACAGGCACTGTACCAGATCTAGGGAACCACCCAGAAGACTGTCACTCCAACATGGAAATGGCTAGGTTGGCATTAGTGAAAATACTGACGCATTCAAAATTGGACATGAGCTAAGGCAGCAATGCCCACCTCTGCAGCTCAGTGCCATTCAAAAACTGGCAATGTTCCATCTGCCACTGAAGCCAGATACCCACACTTTGCTTCACAAGAGATCAGTAAGTGCCTATTTGTTAGTATCTTTGGTAATGTCTGGAGAACAGGAAGCCTGGAAGCAAAAAATATGTAACATTTCTAGACTAATGGGGATAGGTTTACCCCCTTATTGCCTGAAACTGCAGTAAAGACAAGAGGGAAATTAATGCAGACTCTCAGGCTGGCATTAGCCTAGCAAGTTCATCTGTTAAGAGAAGCCAAGTCAATACAAGTCAACTGTAGATATTTACTCCACATCCCAAGCAAGTTTTGCTGCTCACACTGAGCTCAGGGTGAGCTGTAGGCACATTTCTAACTGCAATGTGTGCAGAAGCTGTCAGAAACATCGTTCTGTTCAAATACTTATTAAACTAAAAAAAAATTATTATAGGATGGGTTTACTTAATACATAATTACAATCCACAAAACCTTTCCTTAGGTAAATAATTATGCCAGAATTAGCCAGTGGGAAGGATTGCTTTGCAAGGTCAAGGCTGTTTAGTCTCCATCACCCGTGTTTGGGTTGCATCTTAACAAACACGTACAGGAAATTATTTTTTGAATTAGTGTGTAAAAATGAATTGGGATGTCCTTCCATCGTTGTTCAAGCAACCCCTCCCTTTTCCAGCACTTTGAATACAGCAGCAGGAAGGAAATCCGGCTTGGCTCTGCTCCGCTGTTCTGCTTCGATGTCACACACGGGAACGTTCTCCCCCAAAACTGTACAAAGGAGACGGACAGCAGCCACCAGCACTGGGATGTCCAGGAGGTCAGTGGTCACTCTGCTGTTAGAGGAAGGCTGCTGACAGTGACTGTGGGAGCGCTGAGTGAGTGACAGCACATGTGTGTGGGGATGGGGTATGTAGTGATAGGATGTGGGCTTGTAGTGATAGGTCACGGGGTCATGGCTTCAAATGGGAAGAGGGCAGGTTTAGATTAGATGTAAGGAAGAAGCTCTTCACTATGAGGGCAGTGAGATACTGGAAGAGGTTGCCCAGGGAAGTTATGGATGCCCCATCACTGGAGGGGTTCAAGACCAGGTTGGATGGGGCTTTGGGCAACCTGGTCTAGTGGGAGGTGTCCCTGCCTGTGGCAGGGGTTTTGAACTAGATGATCTTTAATGTCCATTTCAACCCAAACCATTCTATGATTCTATGTGAAGAGCAGGTTTCACTTCTGTACCACTTTCACCCCAGAAATTTAGGATGCCTCCTGCACATTTACGCTGTCTATGTGAAATATATTTGGGTTAAAAATACAAATTACAGGAATCCTACCTAAATTCATATGTTCTTGCTTTAACTGTTTGTCTTACTGGCCTTATAGGAATAAAATCAAACTCAGTGGTTGTGAAAATAAGAGCAGGGCAAATCCTTGCCTACTTCTTCAGGATTGCGGAAGGGTCTGGGAGTCCTGAACCCTTCCAAATGAGAGCCCATTGGGAGCAGGGGAAACATTACAATTCCTCCTGTATTGTTAGAGAAGAGCAAACTTCCTATTAGAGGATTTTGTATTATTCTGTAGACTTCTCCCAGCAGACCAGGAACTCATCTACAAGACTGAAAAATGTCATGCCCTAGGATGGCCTGAGGAAATAGCTGTTACTGTAGTTTTAGGGATGCTGCAGTCCTCTGGTACAGTTCCTACTGTAATTTGCTTTGATTCTTAAGATAAGCACTGGTCCTTTTGAAATTTTGTGGCCTGTAGTTGATGCTGATGACAACCTGTATCCACGAGTGGTGGAAAAGAGATTCCTTGAATTCTGCTCGTACCGCTCCTATCAGCTTCAAAAGGAATTATGAATACTCACTGAATCCTACTCATTATCTTTAAAGTAATACTTACAAATTTTGAACAACCGGTCATTACTGGTGAACTATTGTATGTGAAAAGTTTCAGAAATATGGCCTAGCTTTTACTGGAAATCCGTCATTTTTAATTTGTTCTTTCTTTCCCTCCTTCTCTCACCTTGTAGAATGGAATGATTGTCCATGTCCTTTCTGGCAAATGCATAGAGGCAGCAAAGAATGAAGATGAGAAGGACTTATATTTGTCTGTATGCAATAAGAATGCAAATCAGGTGTGGCAATTTGAACATTCCCATGTGCTACGTCAGACATGACTGATAGGTCTCTATGGAGATCAAGTCTCCAAAACCTAACGTGACTTCTGTTTGGCATGTAACTTACACGTCCTGCACGGACACGGAAGGTGTTTGTGTTTGCTGTAACACGCAGGGAAGTGATGAAGGTTTCTCATCCCAAAGCCTGGCTCAAATAGTTGCTGGCAGGTCCTGGTTTATTCAGCTCTAGCTAAAATTTCAGTGAAGCAGGGAATAAAGATACTGAGAGCATCTATAGATTCACAACTCTGCTACTGCAGAAGACAGTTATGTTTGCCCTTTGAAGGAAACATGGAAAATTGGCTGCCAGACAGCTTGTCTTCAGCATATTCTGTGACTTCTGAGGATACAGGAAAACAAATGTTTTTGAAGCTGTAAGAGGAAGCCAACCAAACCAGGGTAAGAGGTTAGCCTTGTTTCACAGAGCACTCAACTCGTACAAAAAAAAAGCAGATTTTGTATGCATAAAAGTAGTAGATATTTTCACATGTAATAGCTAAAATTTTGTTTTCCAACTAGCCTGAGCCATTTCTACCCTCTATGAGATTGCACAGAGCATAAATTAGTACTTAATTAGGCACTATCTGCTCCAATTGACTTGGAATAACAACAGTCCTCAGTGTTTGGCACACTTGTCCTTAAATCCTTCATCCACAGTCTAATTTCGATGGGAGAATGAGACTGAAATATTAACAACTTTTGTTTGTTTGTTTTAATGACATTTAAGAACAACTCTTCAGGAAACTTCTGTGGAATATGGTAAAAGGTTGCAAGAGATTAGAAAGAAGGGTAACATCATTCCCTGTATGAAAGTTCTCGTAGTACAGTATGCATTAGCAAAGCAAACTTCCATCAGTATTTTGTTAGGGCACTTTCAATTCTGGAGTTAAAACTGGTAACGATGCCACTTTGCAGAAGCCTGCTAAGACAGCAGAACAAAAATTTGGAAGTCTTCCCACATGAGCTCAACACCTGATTTCTAGTATAAATTGATCATAACCATATGTATTTATTAAAGGGGAAGGGCATCATTAATAAAATTTAATTTGGTTTTGAGTTTTTTTCTAGAGACAGAAAATTGTGTAGTTTTGGGTTTTATTTGGAAAACGTACAGCACATTGTTCCAACTTTAGAAAAAGGAAGAAATAACAGAATATACTGCTCAGAGCTTTCCAGTCACGTGCTCTTGGAAAATCATAATGGATTGGTATCAAACACACTAAATTGGTTGCAATGGAAGACACAAACAGCATTCTGTGTTGTGTTGTCCCAAACATTTCCCAGTGGGTGCTGAGTGCTACAGATTCTGTGCCATGTTCAGGCATCACTCCAATCACTCTAATTACCACTTACCCTTCCTTTGATAGCGTCAGAATCTAATATCATTTGCTGCTGTGTCATTGAGAATTTCCTGTGCCATTCTTGAAAATGCTCAAACTATTCCAGAATGACAGTGATCCCTGATCATTGCCCAAATCCAGGGTGAGAAAAGAGAATTTCTAAAATTGTATAAAAGCGGAGTGAAAAGCTGTTTTAATTACATGTGATTCCTCTATTTTAAATTATAAGTATGCCAGATTTTTAAATTATGTATTATTTATTGTATGTTGGACTCTACACTGGGAATATCATTCCTTCAGCATTTAGCTTAAAGTTAAAAAAAAGTATATACAAATATGATAACTGGTCACAAGTGGGATTTGTCATGAAGATGAAAATATTTTTTGTTCAGAGAGGAAATGTTTGCAATTAAACTTAAAAGATGTGCACATCTTCATCTTATATTGCTTTTTAACATCATAATAAAATACTAGAAAAAAAAGTTTGCTGCAGATATATGTACAATAGAAAAATACATTACATGATACTTCTTCCAACAATAAAATGAAAGTATATGGTGTGGTGCCACTTAAAAAATAATGATTATGCTTGTTTCTCTTAGTGACAGTGTAAATGTGTGTTTAGTTTCCAAGGGAACTGTGCTCTGGTGTTTAGGCCAAGAAGGGAGTTGCAGTGTGGTCTAGGAGGTCTCCGTATGGGGACAGCCAGGGGCCAAGGACTTTGAGCCATACCGCAGAAAACCTCCAAGTAAACATAACTTGTTATTACACACACACAGAAAAACAAACATGGGGAAAACATCTATCCCCCATTTTTCCTAGTTTCCTTCCTGTATGGCTTTTAAATGGATTGGTTGACTGTACCAGTGGTGTTTCCCCATTGTGGTCATTTACACCTTGCCCCTATTGTTAGATCCTTCAGCTAGATCCTTCTCTTCAGGAAGGAAGACACTCCTCAACAAAGTGTCTCTGCTAAGGGTGCTAGTGTGTTTTCAACATTCCTGCCCATCTTTCAGAAAACACAAGCAGATAGCAATGCTTTGAGCATCATGAAAAATAGGATTACTTTTAGCTTTGTATTTAGACAACATTTCAGGTTCCTCTAATTCCCATTGACAGGAGAGAAACATAAGAACAAAATGTTCCAGGCAAGAATGGAGTAGCAGTTTTAATTTGAAGGCCTCCAAAGTACAGCCTCAGGCAAAAGGAAAGAAATTCCGGCATAAGAGTAGTAAACATCTCATAGTATAACTCGACCTGTTTCTTTGAATTTGGCAACCCAGGCATAATGGATGCTTTGAGGCAAACCCACCCATGAAGCTAAGCTAAAAGGTCATATTCAAGAACAGGTCACCTTTCAGTTGACAATGCTTACGGAACAGCCTGGTTTATTCCCCTTCCAGCTAACTGGAAATGGAAGAACATAAAGGCTTGAAGTATTATTTAACTTACTTTTAGCCTAGACCCAGCTGATGCAGTTGGTGTTGGCTGTAGTTTGTGGTTGGTTCTTTTAGGTGAGACATCATCACTAATGCAGAGAAACAGAACAGCAGCATTTTTATTCATGTGTTAACCTGAAGTTTGAATGGAGGAAGGTTAGAGCAACCTTTATGCTAAATCCTGAAGGACAGAAATGTTCAGGGCATCTCTCAGTCCACGTGTAAGTGCCTCCAGGTCCTGCCTTAGAGATGTTAATTGAGCTGTAATACTCTCTTACCGAAATGCAATAGTGTCCATTATAGATTTCCCCAGGAAGGAATGGGACTATGCTGAGGCAACCAAGACAAGCAGAGTAACAGCCTAGATTTTCATAACAACCAGAAGGTGACATGTGAGAGCTTTCAGATTCTGCATTTGTATCTCATTTTATCTCCAGCAGTTTGATTCAGATTATGAACATATTGGAAGAGTGAAAAAGGAGTGGTTTGCAAATATTCGTGGCTCATGTGTTTAAGCTATACAAACTGCACACTTCTGCCCTGAATAAAGTATATCAGTGCACAGTGAAATGTTGTGTCCTTATTTGTCTTCATTGTGATAAAAGTGGCTAATTCCTCTTTTTCCCCATGCTGCAGAATAGGTTGTCTGCAAAAAACCCTGTTGGAAAGCCTCCAGTGGCAACACCTTCAATTTAGCCATCACCTAATGGTCCTACAGAAACATACAGGAGGACTCTGCCTCCACTAACAAGTTAGAGGGGGGTTGATTTTATCATCCTTTGCCATAATTTCTCTTGGTTTCAGTGGAAAGGTCTGAATAGGAATATAGAAATAGAGCCCCTAGAAAGCACGATCTCTGGCACACCCTTCAGATAGCTCATAGCTCTGTCTTCACCAGGTGGCTTGGAAGGGTGTACTAAAAAAACCCCAATGCAGCTACATGACCTGGGATAGTAGGCATAACATTTTTGCTGCCTGTCTAGCTGCAAATGGTGTGGTTTTTTGTAAAATAGCTATCCCACTTGGGGGCTATTATGCATTAGACACGTGGGACAGGACTCACCTCTGATGAACTGCAGCCACCTGAACAACAGTCACAACTAAGCTAATTGTCTAAGACTTCTACTGGTCAGCAGAGAACACTTCCAGTGGTAACGTCTTTCTTTTCAAAGACAAGTATTTAAACACAATGGTTGAATCACTATCTAGAAGTGCTTGCTTTCTCTACTGATTAGACAGGGAGTCTTAAGGATTAATTTAGATGGTATGTGTAGATTTTAAACTGGATTGGGTAAAAGGAACATCATCCAAAGGGCACTCAGGTGAAAATCTCTTCCAGGAGCCCAACCCCAGTGGCCAGCTCTTCCAATTCTCCCCAGACCTGGCTTTAAGAACAGAGATGACAGCCAGGAACAAACTCTCTCGTTACCATCTGCAGTTTCCTCAAATAAGCTTCCATCCAACAGCATGGATTTTTTCAAGATCAATTCTTTGTTCACAAACTGAGAGACCCGGCTGTAAAGGATGCTGTATTATGATAGGATCTGGTCCCAAGGAATAAGAATTTAAACTTTCAGAAAAGTCTCTGCAATATTTTGAAGATAACTCTAATATTAATGATAAATTTTCTGTATCTTTTTGCTGAGTAGGCTAGAAAGTTACAGCAGAATTTTCATGATACAGAACAGATAAAGAGGTTCAGCAAGGTTCTTATTTTGAACCATGTTACACACATTTTTGAACCTGTTACATACAGACCAGCTTAAGGGCTGAATACATTATTCAGTTTCTAAGTAGCTACACAATGACCTTTGGTAATACTATCATGATATTTATTTACACAAATTATAATTTTGTGTTACAAATTGAGAAGATGGTGAAAATAATCAATTTTTTAAAATATGCCATATATAGGAATTACATCTTTTTAAATAATCTGAACTATTTTTTGCAATTATTCAAAAGATTGCTACCACAAATCTCCATTCTTTGCAATATATATATTAGTCTCTCAGTCTTACAGAATGATAAAAATAATCTAATAATGTAACTTAAAGTGTTACAGGCATAAATAAGCTTTAATGGATTACAACCTTTAGAATTACTTTCACAGTATTTTAACTCCTTAACTTGATACACTATTCAATGAACACCTATCAGGTGTTTTTTTATAGTCTCATTTTCATTACTTCATATGACATTTAAATTAAAATTTTAATTC